TCTCATCTGCGTTACTGACATCTACATAACTTATCTCATGAATGTTAAAACGTAATAAAACAAAATAAAGTACACACATGTTTCACCTGCTTCAATGTAATCGCAAAATGGGCAAACAAGTCTGTCATCATCAGCGTATACTGCAGTGCTGTTTCCAACATGGGCTCCAGCTGTCTTAAGCTCCACAAACTCATCGCGCTGAGGACATTTTTTTTCAATGATCGTCCCGTGTCCATATTTTCTTGTAAGCTCGTCTGCTATTAAAAGCATTAACGGGCATGATGATGATGGTAAGTTATCGTGGATGAGTTGATATCGAGTGGTCTTTTTTTGCAAAAGAAAAGTGTGATGTCTTTTCGTTTGATGTGTGATGTCTTTTCGTTTGATATGCGATGTCTTTTCGTTTGATGTTCATATGTTGACACAAATATATTTACAAAATTTGTCTTATTTTAACCAATCCCCTTTTAGTGAAGAAAAACTGAGTTTACATGCAAAAACATGTATTATGTACTAGTTCAACGATGTTTTTGCGATTGAAAAGATAGTTGATTTAATATGTACAAAATTTGTCTTATTTTAACCAACGCCCTTTTAGTGAAGAAAAACTGAGTTTAAGATGCAAAAACATGTATTATGTACTATTTTTTGCGATGTTTTTTCCATTAAAAAGAGAGTTGGTTGAACATATTTTAGTATAACAATCACAGTGCTGTAGAAAAACATCGTTTTTTACCGGCCATTATAAATAAATTTCCATCAAATCAGAGCCATAGAAATAGATATATCTGTGTGTAAATGATACCAACATTATTTTATAGACGACGTGACTTGTTTACGTTTTGCTAGGAGGCAGGTTTAATCGAGTGCTTTTAGACAACACTGAAAACAATGGTTAATCTACCTTGGGATAAATCTGTCTGCCAGCAAACTGCAAACAAGCTTAGTTTGAGTATTAAAGTCATTTATAAATCAGCTCAGTGAGCTAACGAGTCACCCGGATCACCCCCACCCCAACTGCTTGCTTTTTCTTTGTCTTCTACACAAGAATATCTGCCTTTTCCATGCTTCAATTTTAATAAATTGTTTTGAAATAATATTGCACTTCAAACTGTACAACAATTTCTTTTTTGTGTGTGTTTTTCCATAGTTTTCCCTTTTGGATAAGATTTATTGTGTGGCATAGCGGCCAGACCTTGCCAGACCAGCTAAGCTTAGTCGCCGCGCCTTGGTTATTGTACAAATTTTGTCTGAAATAATATCTGCGTTGTCAACGGTTGGAATATGGTGCAATTTGTTATCTTTTGACACCGTTGAAAGGGTGTCAAGTGTCAAGCCAATCACAGCGCAAGCATTTTGTGCAAGTGACACCATGAGACTTGGATCGACACACTAGCCATGATTTTGTTGCGCAATGACTGTGACATCGTTGCAGATGGGAAATAGTAGTAAAACAGCTTGCCAAAATCAATGATATTGATACCAGTGATTGATACATATTATATCTACCATGGTCTCTTACACTGCGAGTATTGATATTCTGCGCTACACTAAGTCGAAGTTTCAAATGTTTGAATATTCAAGAAGATATTTCCATCGAGTTTTTTAAGCTGAAGAAGCTTTTGAACGCTTTTTGGTCCAAGACAGAGCTTGAAAAAGCAAAATTGGAATAACGACGAAGAGTATGATTTTGTGAATTTTATGAATTGCTTTTTCCGCAGAGTCAGAATGAGATATAATGCTTTGTGCATCAGTAAGGTTAGATTCTGACGTAGTTACTTGCTATAGATGATAAAAATCACTTAATTATGCTTATGACCCTTAATGATGTATGTATCAAATGGAATTAATATGGTGGTCAGTCACTCAAAGTTCATTAAAATGACCTCGTATTTTCATTGAAAATAAGCCATCTCCTTAATTATTAAAGCTTGCTATAAAACTACAGCTGTGTTGTTGAAGCTGTTTGCTTTATACCCTAGTGATATGTATATAAAATAGTGCTACTCCTCAATTTTTAATGCCTGCTATAACACTGCAACTGTATTCTTGAAACTCACTGGTTGCTTTGTACCATATAGATCATATAAATAATAAGCCTCTTTCTCAATACTTAAGTTTGCTATAAAAAGGCAAAGTTCTTTATTCCTAAAAGATAGTTACTTTGTAACACTACCATATAGATATATGTACAAATAAGCCACCTCCTCAATTGTTAAAGCTTACTATAAGAATGCAGCTGTGTCCCTGACAATGTTTGCTTTGTACCAAAGATGTCTATAAATAATTATCCTACTTCTCAAATTTGAATGCTTGCCATAACACTGGAACTGCATTCCTGAAATTGGGTTGCTTTGACCATATAGTTATAGAAATAAGCCACCTCCTCAGTTCTTAGAACTTTCTATAACATTGCAACTTTGTTCTCTAAGATGTTTGCTTTGTACCCTATTGTTATATAAATAATAATTATCCTTCTCAATTTTAAAGTTTGCTGTAAAATTGCAACTAATTCTTTCAAGCTGGTTGCTTTGTACTATAGATAAATAAATAATGAGCCTCTTCCTCGATACATAACATTAAGCTTGCTAATTTGTTGTATAGCTGAAGCTCATTGCTTTGGACATGATCATTCTCTAACATTAAAAAAAGAATTTATGTACCTCAACTATATAACTATATAGTAATATTTTCTACTCAACTTGTTTTAGTACATTAGCTGATGGAATTTGTCTTTACAATGCTTGTTCTATTGTCTTGATTGCAAATGAAAATCTTTCCACCATACTGTGGTGCCTCACCAGCATTGAGTTATATGAAAATGCTTCATACTATGCTAAGCACTCCTTTATTTCTCAGAAAGAGACCAAAGCGAGGTTATTAAAGGATTATTATATGGCATTATTTGACCTGAAACGAAGCTTGATTTCTTTCTCGTCCTTGATGTTTTACTGGTTGATTTCACTTTTCTAGTTTTCGTCCATAAAAATAAATCGTTCAAATTGTATTGTCTGGATAGTTAAACTGTTTTACAAGATTTTTCTTTCGAATCACATTCGTATATAGTTTTTTGTTTCGTTTATAGTTTTTTGTTTCGTTTATTTTGCGTTTTGCTGTTTGCTTTACGAAGTTTGTTTACATTGAATGTAAAATTAAGCGTTTTGGACCGTGGTCGATTGCGGGAAAGTAATAAACCGGCCAAAATGTTTCTGAGCCAATCAAAGCACGCCACTTAGCCGGAAGTGACGCTTGCCATATAATAATTACCATTATTTACGATTATAGTTATCATTACTTACCATTGTCAACCCTTACTTACCATTACTAACAATTACTTACCATTAGTTTCCAATAGTTACCATTACTTACTTTATTGTTAGCTTTTCTGCAATGTTATTGGTTATATATATTCTGTTAGGTTGATGGATCTTTTGTTGTACGAAATGCGCCGGTTATGGAAAACTTGAATTTAACCCTGTATTGTGAAGAGTATAAAAGACTTTGCTTTGGCTGTACTTGAGGAACGTATAGGGAGTAAAAGTGGATCTTGGAGGCTTTCTATGGTCAATCTTTCGTACGCAGCCTGTTGAAGGTTAAGTTATAAGAAAAATGGTGGAGATAATTTTCAATTACTTAGGAGCATTTAACCCTTTTTTATTACCATAAGTGTTTTAAAACTCATATTTACTATCGTTTAATACATTTATTTTGCGAAAGCGTAAGCTTTACAAGTCTTTGAAAAATAAATATGTCGCGAGAAAATAGTCATCATATTGTGGATTTTTCTTTCAGTTACTCGGCTGTTTTAGTGGTGCCACAACACGTGACCGATGACTCTTTGTTGCGCGTGTCTAAAAACCATCGCCATATGCGTTCTCCTGTTGCGACGTGGAGACATTAAGTCAATAAATTCGCCGTTTTATTGCGATCTCTTCCATTGAACGAAGCTCTGTGGCATCCATCATTTGCTCTGGTTTAGCTGCAAGTTGTGGAAGCACTGACGCAATACTTCATCCAACGTGGAGCAAGATAAATATTTATCTGCCGCAGTTTAGTTGTTTATATTTATCGTTTCAACGCTCGTCCCCTACCCTCACATGTAAATGCCCTCCCGACCCAGCGCAATGCCCCCTCTCCCACATACACACAGATCTATTGCCACCCTTGGTATCACAGCAATATATATTACTTTACTATAATTATGGGTACGTTGTGGATTCTCGTTTTTTTGAAAATCACATTTCGAATTAAAGTATCCTCGAAAAATAAACGAGAACTAATAAAAATGAATTGTATAATTGTTTTTCTAAAACTGAGTGATTTAGATATAGCTTGATTTTCTACACTATTAATTTATGGATACTGTTGATTTTTGTAAATATTTATATATGAAATAAGTATTTAGGGACTGTTTGCCATTCTTTAAGTTTTATTAACATTAGCAAATGTACCTGCATTTATCACTTTTTTCGTATCAATCCTAAAGTTTGGCTTTAAGCATTATTATGTGCTTATGTAACGGTGATCTTCTATGCTTTTAATTTTAAGTGTCTTCAAATCCTGTATCGTGGAATAAAGTGGAGGCGAAACATCGTTCACTGGCAGCCAACGTCAGCATGTCTAAAGCAACGATGAATCTACGATCAAATGACAATGCATCTAAACGTGTTTCTGTTGTGGACTCCGTTGACAAAGCAATAACTGAGCAAGGATGGGAGCCTGCCGCACTGTACGTTTTTTAATCTTTCTTGATGTGTTTATTATCTGTATTATTATTTTAGCGATAGTCAATGGCGATAGTATGTAAGCCCTCAATACCCAAGTGCAAGATCTTACGTTTTGTCATATCCAGTTCCTTTGAAATCGAATGTGTTTTTTCAGTTCCATTTTAATATGCATATATAAATATTCCCTCTCCCCTTCCTCCCAATGATCGAACTGTCAATGTCTCTGCTTCACGTACGAACAACTACAGTTAATACTTCATGTTGTTTTTGTAGGTGACGTCATTTGCTCAAGTAATGTTAGATCCATACTACCGAACGATTAATGGTTTTAAAGTTTTAGTTGAAAAAAATGGTTGTTCTTTGGACATTGTTTCTCACATCGCTGTAATCATACACATTCAACGCAATCAAGTGGATTCACGCCTGTTTTCTTGCAATTTCTTGATGGCGTCCATCAGGTTATCATTGTTTCTTAAAGTTATCTTAAAATTGGGGTTAAGATGGTCTGGTGTCTGTCGTCTGAGTATTGTGCGAAATGTTTTTTATATTACACAAAAAACGTTTGACCAAAGCTTGAGTAAAGCATAATTTTTTTTAAAACTTTATTCGATCAAAAATTTTAGTCACAAAGTTAAGGCGCTTTTCTCGCCATAAATTTGAAATATACATTTAACTTATAAAAGCAACTCTTTCGTGGTCATTATCTTCAAAGTTTTCTTGCATTGTAGGACTCAATAAACCTCTCAATGACTATTTCAATACCTTGTTAAATATCAAACTTTTTAAAGTGCATAGTTTAGGTTCAAAAAATAACTTCTCTAGATAGTTAAATTCATTTTAAGAACATGTGCACAATATTTTTTCAATGGTCTTTTCGGGCCCAGAAATAAGTTACTCATCGCCATCAGTGACGCAATTAGGAGAACACGCTCGTTTCGTAAAGTAAAAACACCGTATATTATTAAAGAATTTTGGTGGGAAATGTTTAGACATCAATTGTCTCCATCTTTTTTATTGCTATAATTCAAAATTAATGATAAAGTGACTTAGCTATTTGTTCATATTGTTTGTGTTCTCAGTTATTTATTTTTATATGAAAGTTTGGAAAAATTACTCATTTCTACATATTTTTTATGTTCTCAGATATTACGTCAGTATCCACTATCCTTCGAATTCAACGAGTATTATTTACATTTCCTCGCCTATCATCATGTCTCCATGCGTTTTCGTACGTTTTTACTGGATTCAGAGCACGAACGTGTGCAGATGGGTTGGCTATCAGATGCAGAAAAGAAAGATGCAAAGACTTCTAAATCTCACATAAAAAGTCTTTGGGAGTACATCGACATGCTACACAAAAAAATCATCATTACTTTATAATTTCCAATTTTCGAAAGAACATTCTGAAAAGGTGAGTTGTTGATCTGCAGCCATATTTTAGCAAATCTTTGCAGCAACAGTTCGCATGCAGTGTAATGAGATTACCTGAATGCTTTTCGGTCATATCGTTGTGTAATAACCATCAAATTGATTTAAAACAAGATCAAAGAAGAACAGGCATTTAACTCAGTTTATTTTTCAATGGACGCCTTGTTTATCTTTTATCGAACTCGTGTATGTATTGGTTCAACATGTAAACTTCATTTAGTAAATCCCAGAATATCCTCGATTTGTTGTGTTGTATTTAAAGTGACTTTATTAGACTGTAAAACCCATTGAACTAAATAGAACTGGATCATTATGTTGTATCTAAAGCCAGCAATTCAACTAGTCACAAAAAAGTCCATTTACAGTGATAAGCTATCTGGATTTCACCCACAGACACGCGTGTCTGAGAGTAAAATTTGGTAGTGTCAATGGTTAAACCTGAATAGTTTTCTTCTTTAGACAAATACGAGGGCAAATACGTATGTCTGTGTATAATTATATTGTGCGATGTTTTTAATGCGATACAACAAAATTTGAACAAAATTTGTTAGTGTAAATAAAAGGTTTGATTATAAATTGGAACGATAAAATATTTTTGTTGTTAGAATTTTGCTCACAAACACAAAAATTATAATTTATTGGGCACCTAAAATATATTTACTAGCTCACAAGGACTCGTTTACTTTATTTTCTCTAGAAGATTTTCTTCTCGTAAACCAGATTTAATACATTATTTCTAAATTCCCAGGTGCTTCGTCCTCATTGCAACGTTTCCAATCTAAAATTATGGAGTTATTTTGTTTCGGAGAATGTCTCCACTGGTCCAGAGTTTGATCAAAAAGTCATAAATGAGACAGAAACTGCTGCCGAGGAAGGACAACAGAAGTTAGAAGACAAGTACGATGCCAACAGGTATGAATAAGTTATTGCGTTAAGAAGTAAGCGCGTTCCATTTAAAACGTAGCAAAGTACCTCTACGATTTGCGTGTTTCCATTAAAAATTAGTGAAGTACTACTATACTTAGCGTGTTTCCATCTGAAAATTATTGAGTACTTTAATAGTCAGGATGTTTCCATTTAAACATTATGTAGTGCTTCCATTGTTAGCATGTTTCTATTAAAAAATAAGTTTAATGCCATTCGTAGCTTGCATGCTTAATTTTTTGTTGCAAACTTTACTATAAGTTTAAAAAGGTGATTTATAATATTCAACCATGCGTAAATTATTGAATAAAATAGCTAACGCTTCATATTGTTTACTAGACGCTGTCGAAGTGGTATGTTTGGTGGATCGGTTCATTACGACAGTAGTAGCTGTGCATATCATTTGTACGAATATAATCGCATCGAAGAAGAGGCTGACAAACACGCAACTCGTTGGAAAAAATATGGGAGCGTTTGGAACAGCCTAAAATAACGAAAACGGTATTTATAGCAAATATACTTTCATTGTGACGTGTTGTTTTACTTTTACTTTGTAGACATTAAGTAAAGGTCATTCACTGGATCTTTTGTAAATTGCTTTTGAATATCATATTTTAGGTCTCATTTAGGCAGCATAACTACTTTTTTCTTACTTGAGTGTGTGTATGGTGTGAATACCATTACAGATTGGAGTGTATGCATTGTATGTATGAATACCATCACAAACTGGAGTGTATACATTGTATGAATACCAGACTGAAGTGTGTGCATGGTATAAATACCATTACAGACTGAAGTGTATGCATGGTATGAATACCAATACAAACTGGAGTGTATGCATTGTATGAATACTAGACTGGAGTATGTGCATGGTATGAATACCATCACAGACTGTGGTGTTTCCCTGGTACGAATGAACACCATAACTGACTGGCATTTTTTCTTTACAGTTTTTAACATACAATGAAGAAATTTCTAGAGTCCGTAGTGGTGTACTACACAAACGAGATACAATGGACATAATACTTGAGGTAGTATTTATGATTCTTTTTCTTTATGATTAATTTTATATTGATTGTAGATAATTTATAACTTCAATGACCATTTTATGATTACCTGATCTTAAATTAATATTCTCGTTCATGCAATATACTCGTTCTATTTTGTGATTTTTGGTAAAATACTTTCTATATACAAAAGGATTTTTTATCAGTTTAGCAACTTATAAAAATGAACTTTTTTAACATTTAGTTTTGCTGTGCTGGTAGCACTAAACCGTGAAATTGTATTCATGTTGTCTTGGAATATGTTGTATTCTTTAAGAACGACAAAACACTTTCTGAGTTTCTAGAGAGTTTTAGACACGTGATTGGGAGAAACAATAAATTACATGGCAAAGAGAACACGAAGTGCGTGTGTTTGCAAAAATTTCGAGTTTCTTTAAAAATTTCACGAGTGTTTCTATATAAATCTATAGGAATAGGCAAATATTTTTTTTGTATTTTCTTTATGAAATAACGTTTTAAGAAGAATATAAAGACAATGAATTCTTGAATTTTAATAACATGTTGTTTATATTTTTGCCTTGAAACTTTCCGCCATAACCACAGAAGTTTTTCAATAATTTTGAGAGATTAAAGCTCTCGTGCAATAAAGGGTTTTATAGACACGGTTTTTTCGAGCATTGCACTAATCAGCACCCGTGTTTTCAATAGTTTTTTTTTTCACACAATATGAGATTGGTATCATGCCGCCATTTTAAGATTCTCGAACACAGTTTGTACAAATTTTAATGTCTCTGAATTGTGAGTTTTTGATAAAATCTTGAAAAGTAGTCAGTTAACGCATTAGTTTAATCTTCATTTAATTTCTTTTTACTGAAATGGAGGTTAAATTGACATCTTAATGTTGGAACTTTTGTAAGTGACCTACCTTGTGGCGGCTCACTTCACATGACAACACACCTTTTGTACTGGTTTCAGTATATAATTTGTTTTGTTAAAAGACCTACTTGTTGGTGGCTCACTTCACTTCACAACACACCTTTTGTACTGGTTTCAGTAAATAATTTGTCGTGTTAAGTGACCTATCATGTGGCGGCTCACTTCCCATGACAACACACCATTTGTACTGGTTTCAGTAAATAATTTGTTTTGTTTAAATTTTCATAATACGTTGATTCCTTTGTTACGTTTGTTAGGCTTTCCATGCCTGTTATGATCTTAGCTTTAAAAAAATGTCAACATTGTTGTGTTTTGCGAAGAATAGACAGCAATTGCTAAAATTTGTTAACTGAAAATTATTTTTACAACTTTTGCTGCGTATTTATACCTTTGAAGTAGAGAGTAACTTTGTTACTTTTATAAGATGACCTTGTAGAAACTGATTTCACTTAGTTTCTTTTAAAGCTACATACTATGTGACACATGTTACTTTTATATTTCAGGGGAAACTTCAAATCGAAGACTACAGTAACCAAGGTTTTTCACGACCTCATTCATTTGAACCTCACAGTTTCTTTACGCCAACCAACTGCGATTTCTGTCTACAAGTGATATGGAATATTGGAAAAGGAGGTATGGTTTGCTTGTGTATCTATCTATCTATGATGGCCATACAGTTGACTTTCCGTTGCATCAATAAACACGCTTCTTTATCTTGTCTACTGTGCAAAGTTTCTATGGAAATTTTGCTAATAAAATTTTACAACTAGCAAAGCTTTATAGCAGAATGCACGCGCTTTCATGTTAGTTAAATATACCCCTAGTATAAATTTAATTCTGAAATCAAAGTAAAACAATCGCAGCCAGACAATATTTTTTGCTAGATTTATGATAATTGTTATGTCATACAACTGATAGTTTATTTCATGATGATTGTGACGCCGCTATTTTCCATCATAAATTTCAATGAGTGTGTACCGTTGATAATTTAATAATTTAAGAAATTTATTCAAGCAAGTCTATCCAAAATGAATTAAAATGACTTGGCTCGGTCCTGGCATCTTGATACCCCAAAACTGTTCACCACGCCTTTTAGTTACGATACATTTTGTGAAGAGATTTTGTGTCCTACCACCAAAAATTCTTTTGTATTTTAATATGTGTTTTTTGTAGGATTCAGATGCACAGAATGTGGATACAACTGCCACGAGAAATGCTTATCACGTGTTCCTAAAACGTGTCCTAATTACAAGAATCTGAAAGACCAGAATGATAGCATGCCATCAACTAGTAACAAAAGCTTACATGAGGTACAATATAGTACACTAGTGAACTTCCATTGATGTTTGTTAACTGCAAACATTTTCCTTCACTTTTAAATTTATAATTATATAATATGTAAACAAAGAAGATATTGTTAAGTTTCACTTTTTATTACTCAGTTATAACGGATTAAGCTTTAGTTACACTAGCCAAAGTGATTTATCATGAATTAGTCATTTGAATAATCTTTATCATTCCATAGTCTCCAAGTATAAACAAATCTTCGAAATTTTTGTGTGGGTATCTATGGAAACGAGGTGCTTTATTCAAACAATGGAAGCAACGGTATTTTGTATTGGATACGGAAAGACATCAGGTAATGTTCTTTATTGGCTATTTTAGTGAACAATATTTTGATGAAATGTGGCAACGAGGGATGGAAAACGGTGTAAGATAAAGCTTCAGATTGTCAATTTCTACTGGTTTCTGTTAAAAATTACTATACAAAAGTTAAAGGGGAACTCCACCCAAAAATAATGTTGGTCTTAAAACTTTGTCTGTCCCGTGAAAATAAATATGCGGCAATTTTTTTGTTTGTTTGATTCAATATTTTCACAAAAAATGAGTTGAAATGCTGCAGCTAGGGCATCCGGTGCGTGGGAGCAGAAATATGTCAGCGGCTTGTATTGACGTCATATCGTCAATTGCTCCTCAAAGCTTTATGTAAAGTCATTGCACAGTCATAATAAACTTGCGTCAAAATGCTTCTCCTAATCACAAAATGTTTCTTTTCGAAACGTCAGAATTTTTTATTCGTAGGTATATACACAAGCAACTTTTATAGCTTACATGTAAGTATTGAGCTGGTTATTTGTATTCTGTTTTAATAGAACGGTTTCACATCCATAAAGGCCATTATCGCACAGTTTCCGCACTACATATAGAACTTGAATGTCGATTAATATTATTTTTTAAAAAATACGAAGGTTTCTTTGTGTGGAAACTGTGCGTAATGCCGTTTGCTTGTCCTCCGAATTCAACCTTAACAACAGTTTCCACTGATGTAAACCAATCTATTGCCCTTAATAAACATTGAATAATAATAAACATGGTTGTGTAACTCATACGGTTAGAAAATAATCCTACATAAAACCATTGTAAAAATAGCCTTTCGTGCATAGAATTAAGGTGTAGTTTCCTTGACGTAAAGTATGAACTTATAGTTTCCTAATTGTACATAATTTCCCTGATGTGTGGCATTTGTCTAAATCTGTCACAAAAAACTAACAAAGAAGGCTAACATTAAAATGATGACTTGACCCATTGTATTAAGTCCATTTCTAATCATCTTTGGTGGTGCTCTGCAAGTTGTAACAAGAATGCAGAAGAATTGGTGGAAAATGGAAGTCTGTCCTTAACCACATTTCCAACAAGCATTTCTGGAAGGGAAACACATATTTTCATCAATGTTGCCACCAACAATTAACAGAAAAAGAAACAAAGCAGAAGAAGTGGTTATTTCCTACTTCACAAGCATATATTGCTGCAGAGAAGGTGATTTGTGACAAGAGGCTTCTAAAAGACCTGCGGAAGCTATCTGAGTTTTGTCACACAGGAGAGTTGGAGGTTTACCATTCCCTTTTACTGAAATATTGCCCAAAGCGAGAGCATTTTTCATTTCCTGGGATGGTAGCCCATTTATAATCATTTCTTTGTAAATCTGTTTTTTTTTTTGTAATAAATTAATAATAATAAATGTGCATAGCATGACCTATAAATGAGCTGGCTATGCCACTTTAATATTGACATACAAAGTAATTGTAATGGGTATACCTATATCATAATAAAATACTTCATTCATCAACATGGTGAAAATCAAATTGAAATTCCTCTGCAAGGCCAGGTGGAGAAATGTTTCTCTAATGCGAGTAACTGCATGATGGCAGATGACTCTCACTTCTCTTCCAGACACCCCAGCACCATCTTGCCAGCTGTCTATATGCAATGGCGGTACAGTTTGTCTTCGGGCCCATCATATGCTACCTCATATTGCTTGCTTGTACTGGTACCAAGCTGTTTGTAAACCCACCTGTTAAGACAAACAGGCTCAAAACCAGGATGTTGTGTAATGCACAAAGGGACTTCGGTGGTGTCATTCGTTTCTACTGCCTCTAAATTTTTGTCACAAATATTGGAAATCTCTTTGCAGCATAAACATTCCTCGTTATTATCCATTATTTGGCAGTTACCACATTGACACCTGAATATGTTAAAAGAAAGGATCTTGAAAAGTAAATGTCAAAAACTTCAATAAAATTGTATCTTACAATAAAACTTTAAAATCTAAAATTATTATGTGTGTGGACGTGGTCAACTTCAAAACTGAAAACGTACTTTTGAGATAGAAACAATGGTCTAGAATAATATAACATTTTACTACCCACCATTCAAGATTGTCGCGCCGAGATTCATCGTCAATATACAAAATTCCTGTTCTTCGTTATCCTCAAACTGGTGAGCTTCTTCGTGTTCATCAGCCGGCCATTCGAGGCTCAAACTGATATGGCCGAATATTGTTTGTTGGATTGTCTTCCATTTCACTATCGATTGGTGAATTAGGCCGAGTTCTTCCAAAAAGCCATTATAAGCGATTGTTTTGTTTTGTGCTAGGCTGTGCGTTATTATTTTTTACTTTGTTGTAAACTCAACTCCAAATCGGTTTGACGATATGACGTCAAAATAATTTCCTGACGCTTTCTGTGCCCACGCTGCTAAGCCTCAAAACAGCTCAAATAGCGCACTTGAAGACGCGATTTTGTCAAAAATAAAATAGCTGATGTAAAAATTTCAAAATATAGTAACTTTTGCATAAAAATGGAACTTTTAAGACCAACATTATTTTTGGGTGGAGTTCCCCTTTAACTTTGTTGTTTCTTACCATAGCTTTGTGCCTAATTGATATAGTCCAAATCGTACTTTGCGATACTTTACTTCTGTGATTTGTATGGATGCAAGAATTAAAAACATTTATAATTGTGCGAAAATTCTAAACATTTCATTTTCTGTATTTATCAAATTTTTGAGCTTGAACACTTGATGAAGAACAAGTTTTTCTATTGTTACTTTTCACCCCGTGATGTTTGCTTGACTACGGTTACTAGCCATGATTCTACACAAAGTGATCAAAAGAGAAACTAGTCTTAAGAAATTTATGTGGAAGTTACACTTGGTTATAATGCAATGGGTGGGAATGAGGATCCAAACATTGCAAAACTCATGGAGTAGATACAGATTCACGTCCGATTTCCACTTTCTGATTAAAGCATCGATTTTCCCATGTAGATTTTCGGGGCTGAGTCGGTGTCTTTATTGGCGCTTAATTTGTCACTGTCATAATTAACATAAGTCATGTGCATTTTATTCTTGATTATGTCAGCTTATCATTCATATGAATTCGTGTGCTTACTTTAATAAGAAACATCACGCTTTCAATATTAGTTAATGTTTCTGTTATGAGAACTTTACAATTTCAAGACAATGTGCGCATAGGAATGTTCTATTTGTGACATAACGTTAAAAGCAAGAGTAGCAAAAAGTGCATTTTAAAAATCGTTACATTACTGGCATAGCATGGAATTGTTAAAAGAACTTCTGAGAACGGGAGGTGCATGATTTAAAGCTTGCGACTTTTTTGATGGTGAAAATTGCAAAGTTTAAGCTGTACTAATTACTCGATGCACTTATTTCTAGTTCATTGCAATTTGCTTTCCTTAGCATTAACATTTACGATGTCTATGTTTTCACAAATTAATTGGTTTTGTAGCTTCGTTACTATGATGAAGTAAGCGATGTTCATTGTCAAGGTGTTGTCAACTTATCTGAAATTATTTCATGTGAAATGTCACAGTTGAATAGTAAGTTTTATTTCAATATTTTGCTCAATAGTCTTATTTCTTTTAACGTTTTGACGAGCTTTTAAAACAATGCTCTATTGACTTAAATTGCATCACTGAGAAAAACGACTTTTCTGTTAATTTTGGATTTTTTGCGGAGGGTGTTTTGTGTTCCAAATTAAAACTTCTCCTGGGATATTACCATAAGAGCAAATGTCTTTGTGCACCAGCTTGAATGAATTGCAAAGTTCTAAGCTTTTTTGGTATCTGTAGAAAGGATATTTATTTCTATATATGAAAATAAATAATATACTTAAGTATGGAACAAGTTGCAATTACGTATTTAATTGTACGATAAAACTGTAAACATGATTACATGATTGTAAAAGTGCTGTTATTGTATTGTCGTGTTTTTTTTTATAAAAATTGTGAATTTCATTGATATTTTTAGCAAACGAGAAGCAAGTTTTTTTCGACGTAAGTAAATATGTTTGTGTATCTTTCCTCGCTGTGTTGTTTGTTTGAAGCTTCAAGGTGCACTAAATCAACACGAATTTTGATTGGTTTAAATTATTGTATGAAAAACCATTCAGTTAATCGTGCTTGGTATTTTCTGTAAACTATGTAAGCGTGGCTAGCATGAAATAATGGTAATAAGCTCTTTTATGAACTTTTAAATTCCCCCTGAAGCTTAAAGATTATCCTTTCGTTACCACTTTTAGTTGATTTAGATTTACATTGAAAAAGCAATTCAATATTTTACGCTGATAACATTGAACCCTGTTTTTAAATCTTTGAGATAAAACTGATGAAAACAATCATGCATGTAAAATACTTATTCCTCTTAAAGACTACTTTTACTGCCTTATATGCTTCTATAGCTTCGTACAGAGAAACGATTGTATAATTTGTATTCTGCGACGGAGGAAGAAGCCAAGAATTAGATATCTAAATTACAAAGCTTGGATACGTAGAGCTTCCACCGTCCAATCAGGGATTCATTATAATCAAAAGAAATGTTGTGCATATGTGAAATATTTTAACTTTTTAGAACACATATTTAGGGTAATTTATGTATGTATTTTAATTTTTTTAAATAATAGTATCATTTTGAGACACGCACAGGTTTCAAATTATCGTGACTGAAAAAACCAATACGAATTTTCGTAGTATTTTCACATGTTATAAAAATAGTGTGACACCAGTTATTATCACTGAATCTATTTTTTTCTCATCGACCGCGTATTATTACAACAAGAGTCTCAATACTATCAAGTGGTAGGCTAACAAGTTTAAGTTATCTGCTCTGTCTGAACACTACTCCCAGTCTAGAGTACGTGATTGCAACAATGATTCACAATAGTTCCTCCAAACAGATTAAAGGCGCAGAAGGCAAGAAGGCTTAGTTGATTTCTCCAAGATTTGTAGGGTGTTCAATTTGCTGTGCCTCGTAAATTGTCCTCAATTAGTTGTACCCTGTAAGTTGTTCTCATGCAATATATATATACATAAAAGATAAAAGTTCCTCCGGATTTTAAGTGATTTTTATTGAGCTTTCGACTCGTTGCTTCGAGCCTTCGTCAGAATAAACACGCACAGACTAAACACGTACGCGAATTTAAAGAAGCTTGGTACAGTGAAGACAACGACACAATAAACAGACAAATCGACATACCCATGATATACTCACAACTAAAGAAAAAGGACAAAAAACTACAAACAACACCAGAACTAAAACACTACACTCTAATATTATTAACACCAATCATATTGACAACACACCAAAACTCATGGCAACGCATTTCACTCCATCCAATCACATTAATCCACCCACTCATCCAATTAGACGCTCTAAACGTCTCCAAGCTAAAAGCACGTGTAAATAAATATCCTCATTCTGATGAAGGCTCGAAGCAACGAGTCGAAAGCTCAATAAAAATCACTTAAAATCCGGAGAAACTTTTATCTTTTATGTATTAAATGCCTGGATTACAAATTTTCAAACTTACATATATATATATATAAGTTTGAAAATTTGTAATCCAGGCATTGAATACATAGCAAGAATAAAACAAATAACAATAAAATAATAAAATAAAACAAGAATAAAAACTTCTGTGCAGTTCTTTAAAATATGCTCACGCATGCAAGAAAGCTTCTAGATTTCCTTCTAATAATGACCATAGATTTCTATTGAATTACCTGGATGAGGATAATGGCTTGTATGCAGCTGGTCGAAATATAATGGAGGACGTGAAGACTCTCGTTTGCATTGTGGTTGTAGAACATATTTCGTATTAGGGAAGCTAAATAATATGAAAAGTCGCTTGGGGAGGTAGCGTTCCGACCTTTTATTAAAGATTTAGGAAAATTGTATATTGCTCATACATAGTCAATATATCCAATGCTTGCCACTATTTGTATTTTAGGTTGTTTAATTAAAACCGTCAGTGAATGTTTTGCTTGCTATTTTCATGTTCATATATAATAAAATGAAGACATAATATGTTTGTTTTGTTTATGTTTCGTTCAAATTTCTTGAATAATTAAACAAGTTTGTATTTTGCAATTTTCAGGCGGCATTTCTTTATTATGCTAAAAATATATCAGCATTTACACTCTTTCTGTGCAATTTAATTTATAAATAACATTTAATTATAAGTACTAGAGAAATGATCAAAGTACTAAAGCGAGCATATGCACTACGATAAAAACATCCCGAAGTTATAATTCAAATATACACCTAATGTTTTGCTCAATCACTGCTCACTATATTATTTAAATAATAATATGATTATCAACAATAAAAATCATAAAGCGTAATACCCTTGTTTTACATAACAATATATTCCTACGATGGTTCAAATTCCTTTGCATAAAAACATTTATTATACACGGAATTAAAGGATGCGTATGATGTTTTTATGAGATGAGTTCAAGAAAGTTTAAGTCGTTATCAGTTCAAGGTATGATACACAAAAAATAAATGAAGTTGTAATTACTATACGTCATAGATGATCAGTTATTTGACTTGTAATACTAATGATTTCGAACTTTGAATATATTCTTGGCTTGCTTTAATTCTCAAGCGTTAAAATTCTTACAAGCCAATAGTACCCAATAAACATTTAACAATTATTTGTCGTGCGTTCCTTTAAAGCAGTGAGTTATGATTAAATGGAAACATGATTGGACGATTTTAAGTTTGAATGCAGACCGGGAGTCGAACGATTCGACGATTTAAAATTCAATAAAAATTATTCATAACATGAATTTATAGTTATAACAAATAAGACTAAATTAAGCGTTGCATTTATTAGTCTTCTAATATAAATTTGAATCCACCACTTAATGACTAGTATATAGCGTAGACACACTATAGATGAATTTTGACTGAATTTTATGTATTTTAAAAATATAATATTTTGTTTGAGCTTCTGCACTAAGCCTTTTCAATGTCTTATTTGCGTCTAAGCCATCTATACGACGACATGTGAATTATATATAATTTAAATAAACTACTTCATGGTAGGTGAGTGCGTACGATTTTAAACTCAACGTAGACAATTCCTTTCTTACGAAGGAACTTAATTGTCTTGTATTTTCCGTTGTTCCTTTTCTTTCGGACCGAAATGTAATGTATTTCCTGAGATATTCACGAAGTTGCTTGACGGAATTGGGATTTTTATTTATTTCGGCAATAAAAATTCTTGAAGAAGTCTATACCCGTATACTAAAAGCTCACTCACATTCACATATATTGAGAGCGACATAAAAATCACACTGTATCTAATCATCAGCAAAGTCATTTCTCCATCTATGGCAAGATTTTTTCCTACATATTCCAAATCAAGCAATCAGTTGAAAGAAACTGAGGCTTTGAACATGTATGATGTGATTTTGAAGCCCCAATCATTGACTGTGTGATGCTTGGCATATTTTCTGTTAAGTCCATCGTTTTTCTGGCTAGTAATTTGACGACTGTTTACTAAGAAGTTGTATTGAAAAAAAGTGATTTTGGAATAATAGTCATCTCATACGCAGAGCAGAAAATTTTGGAAGATGGCGAAAGGTTGCAAGAAAACAGGAAACATATATAAGATATATATATATATATAGTGAGAGCTCATAATTTCATTGCCAACAAGTACGTAAATAATTTATTCATTTTAGCGTATCGAGAAAATAACAGAATTAATGACTCCAGTTCGAGACTGACTTTATGAACGTCATTAGCAATATTTGTAATGTTTTTGGAATCTTGCCAGTCGCCCAGGCATATTTCTTTGATTGTGTCCAATGGATGCAACAACTCAAGCCTGATGAATAACGAAATTCATTCCCTTGCAATGTTTATCTCATACATATATTGCTCACTCACTCAGACTATATCTTCAACCCATTCACAACAAAACATCACACAAAATTTTGCAAAGTCTATTAGTTAACAAAAATTGTAATAATTAAGGAGAATTTGTCTCTCTGTCAGTAGGACAATCAAATAATATAACTGATTTCCAACAAACTCCTCCTATACATCTGAAGATAAGATGTATATCTAAATGGATGAATGATTTAGTGAGCGTTTCAAATCTCTTCGGTTTTTTTTGTCAGCAATCGATTGGATAATCCCCGCTTCATTTTCAGCTGCCTTACGCTTTGGTTTAAATGGTTAAGCGTCTGGATTAAAGTCAGGTCTCTCTTCATGGCTCTGTCGATCACAAGCTAATTCCATTGGGTAAAGCAATTGAACTGAGTCGTTCTAGGTATCCATATAGTTTTTCAACATTACCCCACCTATCACTCCATCTTTTTCCGGATATGTCTCTATAACGATCTTAAGAGGTCATTTCCCTCTATTCTTTTCATTGGATTTGATCAGCACGACGTCTCCGACGTTTACAATGAAGTTTTTAGTCCCATGACTCATATTATGTTGTTCTATTAGCTTAATATAATCCCATTCATCCCAGTGGGATCTGTACGAAGCAAGTCGATTCTTATACCAGACAATTTGTCCAATGTCATTGAAACACTTCCGTTGATCTGCTCCAGTTTTCCCTAAGTTGCTAAAGACTGCACGCAATAGGTGAGTCTTACGCAGGATTTATGCACCTTCTGTACAATGGCCTCTGGTATATTGGGTAAGTGAAGAATTTCTTTGGTGTAGGCTTTAATAACTTCTGACTACTTTCCATACTTAGACTAAAGTATACATTTTACTCGGTTATACCCTTCACTAGTGAAAGTTAATGCTTCTATGGAATACTTGACATGTTTTTCAAGCAACTCTCTCAAGTATAAAAATTTCGTTACATTGGAAATAGTTGATTTGTCAATGGTCTCGCTGAGCTGGTTTCAGAATCTTGGCCGATCTTTGTACCTTCCATTAAATTTTGAAATCACTAGCTTTGGTAGTTTAGCTTCCAGATTCCAACTAATGGTAGAACTCATTGCTCCTGTCTCTTCCGGTTTGTCCCTCTTGGACTCTTCCAATTGCGTCTTGTAGTGTGGCTTGGTTTTACACAACTATTTTCTCGATATTTAACTGTTTCTTTCTTAAATGCGCTTTTCTTACTTTCTTTCACCTCCATAAGCCATTTGCGTAATTTTTCCATTGCATTGTCAGCTTGACTTGTGGTATTTTCTATCGATTCCTCCCACTGGGAAATTCTTTCGATTTTTTCATCACTTGCTATTTTCAACCCTTCGACTGTACGTTTGGCGGTATCTGCCTCTTTTACAAATTCATTTACCGCATCACGATGTCTTTCGATTCTCCCGTGATTATCTGACGCACGAATTCTCTCAGTATTCCCGCAAGTGATCGAAATATGCTTGAGTTTTGCTTTAAGTGCTAGCTCTGCCACTTCCTTTTTCGACATGCTTCAATACGAATTCTTCTTTATGATCGAACTATTTCACTGATCCCGTCTGAGGTGCCACGATTTGTGAATCGTGCCGATCACTCAGGCAATATTTCTTTGATTATGTCGAATGGATGCAACAACTTAAGCCTGATGAATAACGAAATTTATTCCCTTGCAATGTTTATCCCATACATATATTGCTCACTCACTCAGAATATCTCTTCAACCCATTCACACTAAAACATCACTCAAAATTTTGCTCAGGCTACTGGTTAACAAATAATATAATAGTTAAGGAGAATTTGTCTCTCTGTCAGTAGGAGAATCAAATAATATAACTTATTTCTAACAAATGTAACAAATGTTCGCCACACATTATTTAAGCCCCAGTTAACATTTAAATACGTAATAACAGAATTGCATCGGGATCTTTTGTTATCACAGGAACGTATACGGACGTATTTCCCTCAACATCAAGGAGAATGAAATTTGGTTCTAAATATTCATTATCAATATATTTATTGGAGACGTTTAAACTAAATATTCCTCGTGAATTTTAAGTGTGCTTTATTTCCAAATTTTATTTTCGTTGCCTGAAGAAATTGCGTCCGCTTGAATCGTTACTAGTAGCATGTTATTAGTCATCTCATGTTGGTAAGATGGCGAAAATTTGTAAGAAAACAGGAAAAATATATAAGATATATATATAGCGAGAGCTCATAATTTCATTTGTAACAAATACGTAAATGCGATTTCATTGGTAAATTCGAACGTTTTAACGTGGGGTATAGGGTTGTAAACATGGTTATGTTAACGAAAGTCGAAAATAGAATCTCTTACGTTTTCGTTTCTTCTAAATTATATAAATTCAAATTATTTGAGGTGTAATTATGAGATATTATTTACTACAAAGACTAACGAGTGCCGGAGTGCAAAACGTACTTGTACAAACGTCGTAATATTTCATGTTACAACATGCATGCCAACTTTCCAAACTTACAATAAAGTAACCATTCAATAATGATTTATGAGGCGTTTTTGTGAAGAGACCGTTCATTTTAAGAATCATACAAGTTTACGCCAATGAGAGTGTATTCAATTTGGCGTACCGAGAATATAACAGAATTAATGACACCAGTTCGAGACTGACTTTATTAACGTTATTAGCCATATTTATAATGTAACAGATGTTCGCCACATATTATTTAAGCACCAGTTAACATTTAAATACGTAATAACAGAGTTGCGTCGGGATCTTTTGTTATCACACGAACGTTTACGGATGTATTTCCCTCAATATCAAGGAGAATGATATTTCGTTCTAAAAATCCATCATTAATATATTTATTAAAGATGTTTAAACTAAATATTCCTTATGAATTTTTAGTGTGCTTTTTTTCCACATTTTATTTTTGTTGCCCGAAGAAATTGCGTGCGCTTGAATCGTTATTTTTCAAGGTTGAATCATTTTTTAATTCTAGTGAATGCAAAATGCTCATTGCAATATGTGTTTACCAAGTTTAAAATCTCTCTTGTTCCACTGTTACATTGTCAATACTTGAGACTCAATCACCAAACTCGTTTTTCAAACTTGTTCAATTTTTACCAATTTGTTAATAAATTAATCATATCTTTATTTGCAAAGTAAATTCATACACAGGTTCACTAAACAAATTCAACAATAGAATTCACAATTAAAGTAGTTTTTATCAATTTCTTCATTCCCTTGTTGACCATGAACAATGTCAAGCCCATCAATATTTGTCAACGTTTAAATCAGTAAAATCGAACTTTGTCCATGTAGCTAGAGTAAATATTTATTTAGCAATATAAAAGTTTTACTTTGTGGATAATTTTTGCAACTCAGAAATGCCTTGATGAACAGCTTCAAAATGTCATTCAATAACAAAACTTTGTATATCTTTTATACTTCCATGCATCTAAAATGCAAATAGAATGTTAACAAACAGTAAAATACCACAATTATATAAAACATAAAATGTAAAATAGTAAAGATTTTTATGTCCATAAAGAGTCCTATATTCTTGCAAAATCATTATTACCGATTAGTTGATATTATTATTAACAAATAAAGCCGTAACTAGAGCTATATGCTTCACAAAAGTCGGTGGTTTTCCAAGTAAAAAACCTCGGGTTCTTTTTATAACTAAAATAAAGTATTGACGAAGCAACTACGACAACAGAATTCCTCGTACCAATCCTGTACACGGTCAAACTTCGAACTCGTACTTGAATTAAGTCGAACTGTATATTAGTACACACTTACTAAAGCTCACTATTGACGCTAGAACATCACAAAAAACACTACCGAAAAGTGTATAATTAACACATAGAACATGCTGAGCTAACTACGTCAAAATAGCACAGTGGGAATAAAAAAGTTGTACCAGAGTATTACTTCTCCACCAAAACAAGATTCAAAGACCAAATAGGAATGATGGCGAATAACGTTTACCAACGTAGATTTTCCAATATTTTAGTTTCGCGACTTTTTTTATACGTCATGGGTAGAACAAGTTATTTAATTCAATTTGACAACAAAATGCTCCCTATGGCCATGAAATATTGGCGTTTTTGTTCATTAGAAAACTATCGGTGCGAGAATCTAATTTGTCGCATCTTCAAACATGTTACCATGGTTCAATTTTGTGATACCTACATAAGCTATATAACCAGTCTGTTATCAGATCAAAAGGTTAACAGTTATTTAGAATAGTCAAGGCTGGCAATAGACGGTAAACATTAAAATTTAAAATAACATGAATGAACACGAAGTAAGCCTATATTGCCTATATGTTTATAATGAAAAATACGTGAACTTTGATAATTTTTTTCTAGCGGTGGAAATGTGAGAAAGAGAAAGAATATCAACTTCAATTGTCTTAATTTAAAAAAAATAAAAAATGCAAAAAGATGCTAGGATATCAAACAAACATGGAATGGAGTATTACAAAATTAGACAATACGAACAAGCTGAGAAATTTTTTGAGAAATGTCTCAAAATTCAAAAAACTTTACTAGGTCCTGAACATGTCGATGTAGCTACGACTTTAAACAATCTTGGTAATGTTTACCGTCGTACTAAAGAATATGAGAAAGCAAGAGAATTTCACGAAAAAGCATTGGAAATTCGACAAAAATCACTTGGTCCTGAACATGTTGACGTGGCTACTATTTTAAACATTCTTGGTATTGTTCATTATCATACCAAGAAATATGCCAAAGCCAAAGAGTGTTATGAAAAAGCGTTGGAAATTCGACAAAAATCACTTGGTCCTGAACATGTTGACGTGGCTACTACTTTAAACAATCTTGGTAATGTGTACCGTCGTACTAAAGAATATGACAAAGCAAGAGAATTTCACGAAAAAGCGTTGGAAATTCGACAAAAATCACTTGGTCCTGAACATGTTAATGTAGCTACGACTTTAAACAATCTTGGTAAAGTGTACCGTCGTACTAAAGAATATGACAAAGCCAAGAGTGTTATGAAAAGCGTTGGAAATTCGACAAAATCACTAGGTCCGGAACATGTTAATGTAGCTACTACTTTAGACAATTTTGGTCATGTTCATTATGATACCAATAGTTATGCCAATGCCATAGAGTGTTTTGAAAAAGCGTTGGAAATTCGACAAAAATCACTTGGTCCTGAACATGCGAATGTAGCTTGGACTTTAAACAATCTTGGTGTTGTTCATTATTATACCAATAAATATGCCAAAGCCAAAGAGTGTTTTGAAAAGGCGTTGGAAATTCGACAAAAATCACTTGGTCCTGAACATGTTGATGTAGCCACGACCTTAAACAATCTTGGTAATGTGTACCATCGTACTAAAGAATATGACAAAGCAAAAGAATTTCACGAAAAGCGTTGGAAATTCAACAAAAATCACTTGGTCAACATGTTGATGTAGCTTGACTTTAAATTATCTTGGTAAGGTGTATTATCATACAAAAGAATATGACAAAGCAAGAGAATATCACGAAAAAGCGTTGGAAATTCGACAAAAATCACTTGGTCCTGAACATGTTGACGTGGCTACTACTTTAAACAATCTTGGTAATGTGCATCGTACTAAAGAATATGACAAAGCAAGAGAATTTCACGAAAAAGCGTTGGAAATTCGACAAAAATCACTTGGTCCTGAACATGATCACGTTGCTACGGCTTTAAACAATCTTGGTAAAGTGTACCGTCGTACTAAAGAATATGACAAAGCCAATGAGTGTTATGAAAAAGCGTTGGAAATTCGACAAAAATCACTAGGTCCGGAACATGTTAATGTAGCTACTACTTTAGACAATTTTGGTCATGTTCATTATGATACCAATAATTATGCCAAAGCCATAGAGTGTTTTGAAAAAGCGTTGGAAATTCGACAAAAATCACTTGGTCCTGAACATGCGAATGTAGCTTGGACTTTAAACAATCTTGGTGTTGTTCATTATTATACCAATAAATATGCCAAAGCCAAAGAGTGTTTTGAAAAGGCGTTGGAAATTCGACAAAAATCACTTGGTCCTGAACATGATGACGTGGCTACGACTTTAAACAATCTTGGTAATGTGTACCATTGTACTAAAGAATATGACAAAGCAAGAGAATTTCACGAAAAAGCATTGGAAATTCAACAAAAATCACTTGGCGCTCAACATGTTGATGTAGCTTGGACATTAAATTATCTTGGTAAGGTGTACCGTCATACAAAAGAATATGACAAAGCAAGAGAATATCACGAAAAAGCGTTGGAAATTCGACAAAAATCACTTGGTCCTGAGCATGCTGACGTGGCTACTATTTTAAACATTCTTGGTATTGTTCATTATGATACCAATAAATATGCCAAAGCCAAAGAGTGTTATGAAAAAGCGTTGGAAATTCGACAAAAATTACTTGGTCCAGAACATGTTGTTGTAGCTGCGACTTTTAACAATCTTGGTAATGTCTACCATCGTACTAAAGAATATGACAAAGCAAGAGAATTTCACGAAAAAGCGTTGGAAATTCAACAAAAGTCACTTGGTCCTGAACATGTTGACGTGGCTACTACTTTAAACATTCTTGGTAATGTTCATTATGATACCAATAAATATGCCAAAGCCAAAGAGTGTTATGAAAAAGCGTTGGAAATTCGACAAAAATTACTTGGTCCAGAACATGTTGTTGTAGCTGCGACTTTTAACAATCTTGGTAATGTCTACCATCGTACTAAAGAATATGACAAAGCAAGAGAATTTCACGAAAAAGCGTTGGAAATTCAACAAAAATCACTTGGTCCTGAACATGTTGACGTGGCTACTACTTTAAACATTCTTGGTAATGTTCATTATGATACCAAGAAATATGCCAAAGCCAAAGAGTGTTATGAAAAAGCGTTGGAAATTCGACAAAAATCACTTGGTCCTGAACATGATGACGTGGCTACGACTTTAAACAATCTTGGTAATGTGTACCGTCGTACTAAAGAATATGACAAAGCAAGAGAATTTCACGAAAAAGCATTGGAAATTCAACAAAAATCACTTGGCGCTCAACATGTTGATGTAGCTTGGACATTAAATTATCTTGGTAAGGTGTACCGTCATACAAAAGAATATGACAAAGCAAGAGAATATCACGAAAAAGCGTTGGAAATTCGACAAAAATTACTTGGTCCAGAACATGTTGTTGTAGCTGCGACTTTTAACAATCTTGGTAATGTCTACCATCGTACTAAAGAATATGACAAAGCAAGAGAATTTCACGAAAAAGCGTTGGCAATTCGACAAAAATCTGTAGATCCTGAACATGTTGATTTAGCTACGACTTTGAACTCTCTTGGTAATGTGTGTTATGAGACCAACAAATATGCCAAAGCCAAAGAGTATTATGAAAAAGCCTTGGAAATTCAACAAAAATCATTTGGTCATGAGCATGTTGATGTAGCTTCGACTTTAAACTATATTGGTAATTTGTATCATTCTACTAAAGAAAATGTCAAAGCAAAAGAATTTTATAAAAGAGCGCAAGCAATTCAAAAAAAATCAGTTTCTTCGGATCATGTTGTTGTTACTGAATCTTCGAACAATATTGGTATGTTATTTTTTATTTTTGTATAGTATAGCATATATAAGCCTTTTAAAGTGTAACTTTGAGGTTTTTGAAATTTTGGACATAATTTTTTACGTATTTTGTGTTTCCAAAACCTGAATTCTTTTTGTATTATGTTTGGCTAGATCTGAACAGAAAAAAAGAATTTTAGGAGTGTTTATGAAATTAGTTAAAGCTGTTTCTGGTAAAATTGGGACACATTTGTAGTAATGATCTTATTTTAGGCCGTTCAACCATTCTGAGTGTATATCGAGTTAAGTTCTCTTATTTATAGTCCATTTGTAGAGCTATCTTAAAATAGATAAAAAATATTTGTTTCTTAAATTGGATGCAAATTGAGAACAAAGTAATGCACTTTAATATATTTTTATGAGCAAAATTATTTTAAATCTGTTTTAACATATAAATAAAACTAAACTAAGTTAAACTACCAAGAAACAACGACATATGTAACAAAAATTTTTTTTGGTAAACTTTTTCTTGTTTTGATTCCATGATGCATTTAACGTAAACGACAACTTTATTTAAATTTTTTCATGCCAACATGTTTTGGCAAACTTATGCCATCTTCAGTTCGGTATAATAAATGAATATTTAAATGGAGTTTAAATATATATAGAAATCTGATACAAGACATGTGTATAGACAAAAGGGATGGAAGCGGAAGTTATTCGCAATTATGTAGTGATTAGGGGTGTTAAGTAGAGGTACAAGTTAAGGATAGTATTGACGTGGTGAATTGATTTGTTAAGATTAGGCTCGAGTTTTTTGATGTACAGTGCTTCTTTTATTCTTTAAGAAGAAGGAGCGTGGGCACTGTCCTCATTTTTAGGTTGTAGTAGTTCAAATAACACATGTTACTTTAGTGATATAAAGATACTTTAAAAAACAACCATTGATTATAACAAATTTTTTATGCAAAACCTTAAACGTAAAGCACATCCAGATGTCTCAATTTTCTTTATCCTTTCCGGAAAAAAGATACAATTCCAAAAAGGAAAAAATTGTGAAGAAAAAAACGAAATTTAATTAAATTGTATTATTCGTTGACTATTTTCATATCACAAATATTTTAAATCAAATTTGAAAATAATCATTTTAACTACATAGTTAACCTATTCCACGAAAAACTCTTAGCTGAAACCAAGTAGTTTCCACCATAAAGTGAGATTTAAATCTTAGAACATGTTTGCGTTACAATCTTTACGCTGCAGTGTTTTTGTTAACGCACAATATCAAACGTATAACAAATTAAAAAACAATATAAAAACTTAGAAGACATAAAGCTTGGGAGCAAAATATTTCCGTGCATAATTTTGATCTTAAGACAATAACCACTGCCATGACAACAATTACGCTTGAAACAATTTAGTCTAACCAACTTTTTATGTTTGCTCTAGGTTGCACTATTTGCTTTTTTTACGTGTGAAATATGTGAAGCTCCTTGCATGCAGTTAATTTAAGGCTAGTAATATACAGCTACGTACCATATGCAGTTTAAATCATGCAAAAAATTGCAAGTCAATTTCACTGTAGCAAAACGCACTTTGATAAAAATTCCAATGTAGATCACATAAATTTGGTGCTAGCATTTTGACACATTACTACTGAAAGCAGTATTATATTATTATCCATAGTTGTACTGAAATAAACATGACACCTTTGATGTGTTATGCTATTTATATAGTTGATGTAGGATGTCCAACATTTTCTTCCAATGTAAAAAATGCTATTAACTTACTTTTAAATGTGCGTTTTTTTGCAGAAATTAACCAAATTCTGCTAGAGATTGCCCAAGAAATTCCAGATATATGGAAGAATTTGGCAATGTTTCTGAAGGTCAGAGATGCGACAGTAAATAGAATTGAACTAAATCATCGTGACATGATCTGGCAAGGGTTTGAAATGCTAAAGTTTTGGTTTGAATCACAAGAAAATAAGCAGTTGTGGTACGAACAACTTGCCGCTGCCCTTCGCAAGATCGAGAAAATTAGTTTGGCTAAAGACGTGGTTCACAAAGGTGAAAATGTTGCTAAATAATGTTAAACTAAAATTAAAAGGTCATTTGTCCATTTTTTATAATCGCCATTTTCATGTAAAACTCAGAAGCCAACATTGGATTGGTTATATTGATTTACGCTTTAATAATATACATGAAAAAAATTCTCAGTTCTCATTGGTTAAGTAAGAGCAGTGCGATTTATTGTAAATACCGGAGGAAAAAAATAAGAAACACGGTGCAGAAAAAAGAAAATACAGTGCAATTTTTTTAAAAAAAAGTTGCTCTTCATTGGTTAATCAAACAAAGAACTGATCTAAGAGCCAATCAAAATAAAACATTTCAAAGGCGTGAAACATAAATTAAAGTAAGCAAAGCAAATGCAATGGCTGGCGCAAGTTTAAGTAAATTTTCTTTGGTGAACAAGCTTACAACTTGCCGTTTGCAAGACAGTTTGGAAAAAAAAGAACACTGCCAACAGTAGTTACCTTGTTCTAGATGCGTGTGTTAAAGCTATAGTGTTATGAAAACTAATATCCAATGGAATTGTAATATACGAGCCAGCCAGAATTGAGAATCTTTTTCATGTATATTAAACCTTTAATAACTGAGCTCGAGGTCTTTACGGAGAAATATCGGACCGAGTTCTTTTTGCACCAAACGAGATCGTAGTAAAATAAAGATCGTGAAAGCGAGGTTATTAAAATGTTTGTTATATACGGCATTATTTGACCTGAAACAAAGCTTGCTTTCTTTCTCGTCCTAGCTGTTTTGTAAGGGTTGTATTTCACTTTTCTAGTTTTTGTCAGTAAAAATAAATCATTTTTAATTTTGTATCGTCTGTATAATTAAACTCTTTGTTTCATTTTTTTCCGTTTTGTCTTTTTTTCAAGAAGTTTTTTTACATTTTACATTTGACTATAAAATTACGCATTTTGGACTGTGGTCCATTCATTGAATTAAATATACCTGGAACGCTAACTGCCATACTTTATTCATGATTGGTTGAAGCCAGCTTGAGCACAATAACATTTACACTCTCCCTGAGAACGTGCGCCGCGTGCTTACTCGACGACAAAAAGTATTCCACGTACAAGGAATTATTTGGTTCTTTTTAGTGTGTTTTTAGTATTAATTATTTATTTCTATGAGCTGTTGAATATTATAAGGATATAAAAGAGCCGAAGGGTGAAGTACTTGTCGGCAGTGTACGTAATCAATTTCATCTTGTGGTTTTCATCAGGGTCATTGGTCGAATCAAGAGTATGATCTTCAAAGATGTTTAAATGACTTGATTTGTCGGGAATGATGACAGACTTCCATTATTATTATATTGAGTAGGTTTTTGCTTGAGTTTATGTCACGTCCATTCTTGATTTTAGGTTCTCTTAGCACGACACCCATGTGTCCTCAGATTTTCTTTCCAGAAGTTACTTGTATCTCCTTGCCTGAGTAGATCTGGAATTAAGAATGTTGAATATCCTGTCGGTCATTTTGGTAAATTTCACTGTAGGCTGACTATTTTTGGCTTTCTTAAGTTTCATTGAAACATGCAAGAATTCGATTGTATTTGCCATAGATGAGCTCAGAGTCTGGGCTCTGACGTGCCTTACTGATTTCCTTTGAAATTCAATTTACTTTCAAAAGAAATCAGTAGGGTACAACGGAATATATGGATATGCACCTCCCCAATTAACTTTCTAGTTAAGACTCTGGGCTCAGTTATATGTACTATTGCGTGTCGCAAGATCAATAAAAGATCAGCAAACAGGAGTGCCACAGGTAGCCTTGAAACCTTATTTTATGTGGAATCGATTTGCGTAAATATTAATTACTTTCTTTGATTCATGTGCAATGCTTGTCTCGCGTGCAATTTCGTTTGAATCCGTACACGTATGTTTGTTTACGCATGTATTCAGACTGCATGGCTAGTACAGTTTTTGAACTAAATGCTAAGACTGCTAAGACCATAAAAAATTAAAGTTAAACAAACATATTGCACATGAATAAGAATTGGTGTTCAATACATAAATCGATTGTATGAAAAATTCAAACGGATTTCTAGGACGCCTATGGGAATGCCGTAAAAGTTTGTTGATTTAAAGGAAACACTTAAAGTTGCCAGGATAATTAACTGCTGAAAAACAATGTTATGCATTTTTGTTGTGTTGAAGAAGGTCATTCTTAAAACTTCAAAAATAATGAAAAACAGCGAGGTAGGGGGAAGGCGTGGTTGCCTCAAAAGTCAAATTTAGGCATACGCCAACATCGACAGATGAAGTGAAGCCAAACTCATATGCATCCTATTATAGACACTGACATTTTGATTACTCTCCCATGCTAAATTAAAAGTGCAATTTAGATTTCAGCCTCGGTGAGATCCAGTAATGAGGAGAAGTCATATAGCTGGACTTTAGTCATAGAAAAGATCTTTCCCGTCCAATATCTGCAACATATTAAACCTAGTTTGGTTGCAACTAAAATTCGGATTCAATGTGTGACTTGTTTAAAGTGCTACAGCCACGAATTTTCCGACCATTTTTTATTTACTTTCTTCAAAATATGCACTTTACTAACACATTGGCCGAAAACAGAATTATGATCGGTCACTTCTAACAGATTTTGTAGCTTCGTAAAATTGCGATTTTTGCTGTATATTGTGCGAACTTTTTCTTTGTCGTGTGACGTCACAACGATGATCACTCCTAAACATGGCTTATAGAACTAATAGTGATAAACGCCTTCGTAGACGTAGAAGTTGTTTTGCTAGCGGTCCAAAGTTAGAAATTCCTACCAATACACAATTTATTGAAAGAATATCATTGTATCTTGTTACTAAAAAGATAAAGATCTGAAACGGCGGAGAAAGTGGGAAAATTTTGTCCGTAAACATCGATCAAATTTTCAAGCTCCGGCTAGATCGCATCTTTGATCAACTTTGACGATTCATGCTATAACATGAATCCTGCGTTGACTAAGTCGCTCAAAACTAAAGCAACGTTGAAAGACAATGTCATTCCTACTATTGATGTGGCAGGAATAGTTCCAGCGGGTGAAGACTTAATTAACAATAGAGAGAAAACGAAACACGTATGGATAATTAGACTTGCGTTATGCACGAGCGCGCACGCACATAGTGGTTTCAGTATGATATTATTGTTGATATTTACTTTGTACGATATTATAACGGAGTTCAGTATGATATTATTGTTGTATTATACTTTGTCTATTGATATTTCATTTTATTTAAGATTGTGTGTCGCCGCAAGACTCTGTGAAAATGAAAAATGTTGGAAGCATTGTCTTTATCGAAGATTTGAAATAATTTGTCAAATGGGATGTTTGTGAACAATAAATTAACATCTTGCAGGCATTGTGACTCTTTCAATTAAAAAGCCAAAAAATGAAAAACAGGTTGTTGTTGGAATTGATTGTCGATCTTTAAAAATTGTGTAAGCCCCCTATTGCTACCATGAAACAAGTAAAACGAAGTCAAACTATGAAGAAACAAATGTAAAGGTTTAACGCCATGATTTTGTCTTAGAAGTAGGCATAGGACTATGATATTTGGAGCGACTTACGAAAGGGGGGGGGGGGATGGAAGTAATGTCCTGATATCACACAGGCATCTCGCTAAAGGTTTTGGTTTTAAAATTTTATAGTATCTTAAAGGAGACTGTTTACTAAGATCAAAAATTGTACATACTAATTAAGTACAGCAATAATTATGCTGACTGAGGTATTTTCTTTCAGAATTTGATAAAGTCTCTGTTAATGATGTACCCAGGCATTACTTTTCTATCTTCAATGGTAGTTAGAGTACGTAATAACTTCAATTCAACGAGAGAAGATCCGGGATTTCTTTGCAGTTTACGCATTAGCAACAGAGTTTTCCGCTCATTATCTTTATGAGTTGTTCTTGGGTAATTGAGTTTTAAAAACTGTACACTAGGAAATACAACACGAACTTCAGGGGCGGATCCAGTGTATGTCAAATCAGTTACGCGACTGATGTTTATATGGTTCAAAAATTATTTATCAACTTTAATGATTACAAATTTCTGTGATCATTAAATTCCCGTTCTGTAATTGTTTGGATTTCATCGTCAAAATTCTGTTTTATATATGAAAACTCATATAAATATTACCTTAGTAAACAGATCAGTAGATTTTAACATGTTTAGAATTATATTAACTGGCTGACTGATAAGCGGGTCACTCGACTGGCTCGACAGATAACGGAGTTCAAGAACGCTTATTTAAGCCATTCCATTGGTCAATAGCCAGATTAGTGGGACGATCTGTGTAATTGGTTCGTTTAAATTTTTGTCTTACTGTGATTGGTTAGACCTATTTCGACTGATAAGCAACTGAACTAACATAGTCAAACTCACTGTCTGAATTAAATGTTTGATTGTTTCATAGTAATTTAGTAAAGCATGATAGAAACTATAATCAGAGCCACCACAGAAATTTAGGAAAATCTTTCATAAATTCATATATTGACATGAATGCTGCTGTCCAGGCTGCAAATTTTTTCAAGAGGGTGAAAAATTTATGGATGAATTGTAATTAATTGCTTGGCAAAGACGATCTCGCAAGAGACATTTCAGTCATTGATGTTCAAAAGCAAGCCATCATTATTTAGAGTTTTCTCAACAGAGATTTACATCCAAAGTCGTAAGTAAAGGACGACTGAAGTGCATGCATGACTGTAAAATATTAAAGTCAATTATGGGAGTATGGGACAATGTGGCGTATGGTAAGCAGATTGATGCTTCTAAAATTGTTGTTGGGGAAGGACTTTTAGCTATGACTTCTTTAATGCTTGGGGAATCGTGGCCGTTATATGGCAGCAAAATCCTACATTCCTTCAAATGTATTTTAATGGACAAGAAATCGGTAGCCATAAGGTGCCATGCTATTATTTACCATACTATAAACTAATGTTTGGGGCCTTTCAGTTTATGATCATTGATCTTTCACTGTTTAAGATTTGAGAAAACCAATATTGTTTACATGAAAAGCTGTTTACTATAAACTGTGATTATGAGTCTTTTTTATCCATGAAGCTTTTTATTTTGGCAATTTGACTGGAATAGTATAAACCTGAGTATTTCACTTAAAAGAAATGTTGCCCCATGTCACATATTGTCCCCTTTTCTAACTGAACACCTCATGTAGAGTTCTCAAGGTGTGTTGATCTACGGCTCATACCAGAAACTCCTAAGGGCTATCGATGTATGAAAAGCATTTTCTATAAAGCAAAAGTGTGTTCCAGTGTATGCAGATAAACCTTGAAATTTGGCAAAAAAGTAAAGCATTTTTCATGAACACAAGGTAATTTTTCTAATGATCATTTACTATAATTTCCAAACAAAATTATTTCAGAATTACATTTAAACTAGTTTTGATTATATGAAAAGATATTCATCATGACCAGTAAGTATGAAACATGAACGAATTTTAACATTTATGTAATAATATGATTAAAGGCATGTTGGTTACACCATTACATTCGCTTGTATTGGCAAATACAATGCTACTGGTAATTGCTATATAGCACACCTTGCCTAAACTTACAGAAGATAATAGTCAAGTGAAATACCTAATAAACATCAATAACATTAAGCTCTCCTTAATTGCAAACTTTCAATCTAATAATCTTTGTCTAACCTTTGGCAGAAAAATATTTTGAGTTTTTTCTCTAAAGGTAAATTTCCTGGCACTATAAATGGAGATGGGTAAAGGGTTACAATAAGCTTGCATGGTTTAAAGTCTCAGCTTTTCTATATCTATGAATTGTCCCTTGTAGTACCTCATTTCTAACTTAACTCGTTTCATAGAGGTGTGAAAGGGGACTCTGGGGGG